TCTTCTTCTTCTTCTTCTTCTTCTTCTTCTTCTTCTTCTTCTTCTTCGCCTTCCCCTTCGCCTTCCCCTTCCCCTTCCCCTTCCCCTTCCCCTTCCTCCTCCTCCTCCCCCCTCCTTCTTCTTCTTATTTAGAGCTTGAAGAATCAGATCGAAAATGGCCTCGCATCTTGAACAAGTTAGCCCGCAAGTATCTTATCTGGAACTGTTGCCCTCTGTGGCAGAAAATAAAGAAGAAAGTGGGTGTGATTGTGATGGACCCCTTTACCGATCTCATCATCACACTTTGCATTGTGATGAACACTCTTTTCATGGCCTTGGACCACTACAAAATGACCCCCCAGTTTGAGCAAGCTCTTTCGAGTGGTAACATGGTAAGCAAACCCTGAAACAGAAGATAATCTACCCCTGTTTTAGCATCCGTAAGTTGCTAAAAATTTGGTTGATCCCTTTGGCTGGAGTGTTAGGAGATTTCTATGGATTTCTTTTTCTTCTTGATTTGAAACACAAAAGGATATCACTGGATCTTTGGCACATGGGATACTGATTGCTGTTGCAACTTCTTTGCTAATTATTTCTGAGAATCTTAATTTGCTGTCAGCTGGCCAAGGTTATAGTTGCAAAATGGGAAGATGTGACTTATATAAAAATATTAAACATGTTGCTATAAATAAACTAATCTACAAAGAGACACACGATGCAGAAGGATGCTGTTTAGAACTACTCCCATCTCCATCCCTGTCCCAATACAGGTAATCCTTGATTTACGACTACAACAGAGCCCAACATTTCTGTGGTTAAGTGAGACATTTGTTAAGTGAGTTTTGCCCCATTTAACTTGCCAAAGTTATTAAGTGAATCACTGCAGTTATTAAGTTAGTAACACGGTTGTTAAGTAAATCTGGCTGCCGCATTGACTTTGCTTGTCAGAAGGTCACAAAAGGTGATCACATGACCTTGGGGCAAAGCCAAGCACCTGAATTTTGATCACATGATCATGGGGATGCTCCAAAGGTTGAAAGTGTGAACAACAATCACAAGTCACTTTTTCAGTGCTGTTGTAACTTTATACGGTCCCTAAATGAACTGTTGAAAGTCGAGGACTGCCTATATTGATAAAAAGGGGGAAAGCCTTTGATTGGGTAGTCATGGCTGCCATCTTCATTTTTTCAATCTTCCTGTTGACTCTTCTCTGTGTCTGTATTGATAATAATAAAACAACCAATCATGGGTCACGTGACTGTGACAAACAAGGGCTGAATTGAATATATGGAAGACTAGGAGAAAGTCAGTTTGTTCTAATCGTGAAGGCCCAGGAGACAGTGAGTTCTAGTCCCGCCTTAGCCATGAAAGCCAACTGGATGACATTGGGCCAATCATCAGGAGACAGTGAGTTCTAGTCCTGCCTTAGCCATGAAAGCCAACTGGATGACATTGAGCCAATCACCAGGAGAAGTGAGTTCTAGTCTCGCCTTAGCCATGAAAGCCAACTGGATGACATTGAGCCAATCACCAGGAGACTGGGAGTTTTAGTCCTGCCTTAGGCATGAAACTTTGCAGGATTGTTGTTGTGGGAAAAAGAAGAGGAAGAAGGAGTATTAGGTATGTTCACCATCTGTAAAGTAATAAAGGCAGAATAAAAACATCTCATAAACATGGAGCAGCCCTCACCTTCCTTAGGACTTGACATTACTATTTCTTCTTTCTCCAAATCTGACAGATTTTCACAGCCATTTTCACGGCAGAAATGATCCTGAAGATCATCGCCATGGACCCTTATCATTATTTTCAGCAGCGTTCGAATGTCTTCGACAGTGTGATTGTCCTGATCAGCATAGTCGAGCTGAGCACGTCTACCGAGACGAAAGAGAACAAGAAAGGAAAGAAGGGTGGGAAAAAGGGCAGCTTTTCGGTCCTGAGAACCTTGAGACTGGTAACTGTTTGTTCTGTGGCTTCGGAGCTGTAGGTAGTCCTAGACTTACAACCACAATTGAGCCCAAAATTTATGCTGTTAAGTGAGGCATTTGTTAAGTGAGTTTTTCCAATCCATTGGACGACCTGTCTTGCCTCAGTTGTTAAGTGAATCATTGCAGCTGATAAGTTAGTGGCCTGGTTGCTAACTGAATCTATCTTCCCCATTGACTCTGCTTGTCAGAAGGTCGTAAAACATGACCGGGCGACACTGCAACTGTCATAAATACGAGTCAGTTGCAAAGGGCCTGAATTTTGATCACGTGACCATGGGGATGTTGCAAAGGTAGTAAAAACAGTCATTAGTCACATTTTTCATTGTCCCGGTAATTTTGAACAGTCACTAAATGAACTGTTGTAAGTTGAGAACTACTACCAGTAAATGGACAATAATTTATGGATCACTGACAGGGATGGGATGAATGTTTAAGAAAGGGAGTCATGATTGTGGCTCTTTATCTCAACTTTTTTGACCTCTTGCTTCCCCTAGCTACCTTTGAACTCAGAACCTGACAAATTATTCTATTAGTGTTAAAACTGATTTGAAACTGATTTGGCCTTTTTGTCTTCAACAGCTGAGAGTCTTCAAGCTGGCAAAGTCTTGGCCCACCTTAAATACCCTCATAAAAATCATCTTAAATTCGGTGGATGCTCTGGGCAACCTCACCCTGGTCTTAGCCATTATCGTCTTTATTTTTGCTGTCTTTGGGATGCAACTGTTTGGGAACAGTTATAAAAGCTCCTGCAAGAAGTTAGACCCCACTTGCAAACTGCGCTGGCACATGGAGGATTTTTTTCATTCTTTCCTCATTATCTTCCGGATCCTGTGTGGGGAATGGATTGAGACCATGTGGCACTGCATGGTTGTGGCTGAGCGGTCCCTGTGCCTGCTGGTCTTTGTGATGGTGATGGTGATTGGGAATTTGGTGGTGAGTCTCCCTGCGCTTGCTTCCTTTTCTTTATTGTCTGCCTGCCTGCCTGCCTGCCTGCCTGCCTGCCTGCCTATCTATCTATCTATCTATCTATCTATCTATCTATCTATCTATCTA